GACACTAAGAGCCACGACATGGTAACTCCCACCAAGGGGCTCAGAATTGAAGAACGGGACACAGACTTGTACACAAATTATAATGTACTCTGAATAGAGATTCATAGAGGTTTGGAAACAATAATAAAAAAGTACAGATAATGAAGTTTTCAACTATGTCTAGAGTTAACTCATGAAAACTCTCTGCAACGATGACATCTAAACAGGGCTTTGAACAACATAAGCACACACTTTGAGAAGTGGAGAGTTTACATGTTTTTCAGTTATCACGCATCTCTCACAGTGTAACAACTGAGAGTCATGTGGGCCAAAGAGAATAAAAAATTCTCCAGCATGTATTTATTGAGTCTACCCTATGGAACTGGTGAGTCACATGAGAGCCAAAAAGAAGAATAAAACATGCTTCTTGCCTTGAAAACATTTTGGCCCAGAAAAGAGATAAGGTAATTAAACAAAATAGATAATATGAAAGACATATGTGACCTGTGCCACACCACAGAGTTATACAAATATACTAAGAGCAAAAACAAGAGAAATATAAATTACATTAATGGTAAAAGCTACACTGAGAAGTTTTTGTATTTAAATTATCTTAAAGGATGGAGAGGATTTTGAAAAACAGCAAACATTAGGAAGCAGGGAGAAGAGCTTTCTGGCTGGAATACCCAACAGAAGAAACTGTCAGGCTTAAGGAAAAATCAACTATTCATTTGACTAGAGCACTGGCTAGCATTTGAAGAAAGCCACTTTAAATTTAGGTTGTGGTCCTCTGGCAAAGAGTCTTAATGCCCAGGCTAGCGCAAATGGAAGTTCTCTTAGAGGTAAAGATTTAAAGGGGCCAAAGTGTGAAAGTTTAAAAACACAGGATTGACATACAAGAACAGTATTCATTTGTTACTTTTTAATAAATGAATGCTTTTGGAAAGAAGCAAGGAAGACTGGTTATTAAGTCATGGCTAACCCTTTAGAAGAGTCTAGGCATGAAATAAAAGGACTGAGTCTAAGGTTATGAGAATAGAAAGAAAAAATGAAAATAGTGCAAAAGCAGGAATTTGGGAGTTCTCAAAAAAGAACAACCTCAAATTAAGGGTTTTACCATAAAAGATATCAGAACAAATTGGTTGCCATAACCACCTCATATCTATTTCTAGATATCTATCCTAAATTATTTATCCCTCCCACACACAATCTATAACACTCTTGAAATCACTTTTTATTGTGAGAAGTATCCCTGGCTTTGCAGCCTGAAGCTCAGACTCTTCCTGCTTCTGCCAATGACTCAGGGAATAACCTTAAGGAAGTCATGATCTTGCTGACCCTGGGTTGCTTTTGAGAACTCTGCAGGGATAATGCAAGGCATAACCAACCAAAATAATGGCCAAAGAAAGCCAAGTGCCTTGGCGTTCCTACATCAATACTGAGCTGTTCAGCAGAGTGGAAAGGTGGACCCCATCCCAAGCAGAAAAGAGAGCCAGAGCCACTTGACCAGAAGCCAAAGCAAATGCCACCCAAAAACATGCTGTTTTTAATGTCACAATGCTTCCACCTCTCTCACTGTTTCAGGTTTCTCTTTTGAATCAATTTTATAACAGTTAAGGCCCTTTACAATTTTAGACAGAATCGCCAATGTTCACATTCCACAGTCTCCTTTCCTAACAAAATATAAACAAAACAATTTTCAGAGTGAAAAGCCTTCAATTCATGATGAAATCTCCACTAGTATCATCAGATTTGTGACAAAAGACTGACACCCATTCCATAACCCTCATTATTCAAAAGAATGATTTCAAGTGGCAATTCTGAAGTTGATGAAAATTTATTTTTTATATATTCAACTCTTATTTTAAGAGGCAAACCCTAATAAACCTTGATTTTCTAATGTTTACTACAGAGAATAAGGGGGGGAAAGGTCTATGTTTTATCATTCCTAAACTTGTGAAATTCTAAATTCTGAATTTTATCAATAAGAAAACAGCAAAAATTAGCAGCCATTTATTTACCTCCAAAGGTACATAATAAATCTAGCCAACTGTAGATCACAATTAATAATTTGCTTACAAATATTTTTCAGAATAAAAATATATCAGTCCACATCCATTTGTAGCCTTTGGTAAGTTAAACCAACATCCAAAACCCTGTCAATTCAGAACATCTAAAAATGCTCAAGAAGACACAGAAAATATATTTTAGAAACTGTCTTACCCACTAGAAAGGGGAACAATTGGACACAAAATAAAATAGCTACACGAAGAGGCAAATCCATGGAGTCAGTAAGCCCTGGAAACTGGGACTGCCCTGAGAGAGACTGTGCCAATCCTTGGAGGCTTTGGGCCTGAATTAGAATGACCCTCTGAACTCTTGGGACTGGAGACCAATTCTCGGGCTATGTGGGAGAGGGCACAGATGGGAGATACCACCGAAAATAAAACTAGTACACTCTAAACATGGCATACTCAGTTGGCCAATCAGGAAAAAAAAAATACCCCACAGAGAAAGACAGTGAGAACACATGCCTCTCTCAGCCTTGCCATTGGGTGTCATGCCAAAAGAAGGGAAAAGATAAAAAGAATCTCCCAGGATATTCCTAACCACAGATCTACAATTGGGTTTAGAGCTGGAATTCACATTATCTTTGTGGCCTGGAAAATCCTAAGCCAAATTTGTAGTTTAAAGATTAAAGTCATCTGGCCTTTTATAAATTAGCCTTGGGCTTCTCCTTCCATGTGTATGTGTAGATAGATAGATATCTATAGATATAGATATTTGATTATATATATAATCAAAACTATATATAATTACATTATAAATATAGATATTTGATTATATATAATCAAATATGATTAATATATAACTATATATAATCAAAACTATATATATATAAAACTACACACACACACACACACACACACACACAGAAGGAGAAGCCCAAGACTAATTTATAAAAGGCCAGATGAGGCCTTTTATATACACATATATAACCACAGGGAAGCAATCATCAAGATCTGGACTATGGCAAAATTTTCAGTACAAATGTAGCACATCTTATTTTCCAAAAAAGCCTGGAAAATATCTCCTGTCTTACATAGTTTTCTACAGTATGACCTTGCCATTTCCCCATTAAAAAGAGGATCCCCCTGTTGCCCCCTTGAATGGAGGCTGCCATTGTGACTATTTTGACCTTTTGACTATGGCAAAGTAAAGAAGTAAGGTGGTGTCAGCTGCAGATAAAAACCATTAAATGGCCTAGCATCTTCCACTTCTTAATTCTTGTCAGCTACTGTGTAACAAGTGCAAATAACCCAACATTACCAGAATGTGAGAAGCTCAGTGATCTTAGAATTAAGACAAGTATCTCGGAACAGTACAATATCTACCCATGGCAGGAGTGGGCATAGGGGGAAAGTCATTTTAATGTAAGTTTCCAACTGAATTTGAAACCTTGTCTTTCATCGTTTAAGTGAAAAACACTTGGTTTCCTTTGGAATCACTGATTTCCTGGAGATAACTGTTCCTTAGTGAAAGTCTAGTTTTTTCTTTTTTTACTCCCCATATTAGATGGGAGCATATCTCACTTATTTTCATGCTTCCATGAACTGTTTTCTATTGAAGTCCAGTTATTCTTCATTCTGTCCTTTTACATCACTAAATACGCTGACCTCCAGGTCAGTTATATAATCTCACTTATGGTTTTAGGAACTTTGCCATGATGTTCTTCTCTACCATACCCTGTGCCACTTTCCAATCATATCAATATTGAGGCAGGTGATAATTTCAGTACACCAGACTCACATTACTCTAACTTCCAAGTTTTGATGGACATCATCTTCCATATGCTTCAGGAGCTAGCCACATGCTTTGGACCTGTTCATCACTCTCAGCTTTCTCTCCTCTCAAACTCTCAAAATCTAAACATCTCTTCTTTGACCAAAGCCTTTAATTTTCTTCTCCTGGTCTTAACATTATGGGATTTACTTTTTTCTTACCATGATCTACAGCTTTTTCAGTTCTCCCATCGTTTACCAGAATCTTCCTCATCTCTCTCATTCCTCTACTCAATGGGTTTCTATGGTCAGACAATTCTTTATATTTCCTGAATATTTTTCCTGATATACCTACTGTGCTGAACTCTATTATTAGTAATATCCTCTCGTTCTGGGTAACAGATTCAAATGCATTTTCATGCTTCCCTCATATGGTGGTTATGAAAAGTTAATGAGTTAATATATAATACAAAGTGCTTAGAAGATCGCTTGGCTCATGGTAGCCATCCACTAAATTACAGCTCTCATTGTTATTATTATTCATATCTCACTTCCTCAAATGGTATTGTAAAAATCCATCACAACTAAAAAAGTCACTAGAGCTGGAAAAACATTATATAAAGTAAGAGCATTTTAGGCAGCTCTCTTTAAAGACATCCCAGACCACTACGGCATTTTCTTTAGACTCATAACAAAGTTAGTAACTTATTTTTAAAATGTGCAAAATAAATTGTTTTTCTCCATACTTTATGGTTAACAACATACTGACACACATATGTGAAGACAAAAAACAAGAACACACACTAGCAGCTTACAACCATGAACTATCTGAATAATCTTTAAGAATAAACCTGAGTTGATTTAAGAGAAAGCAGATGCTCAGTATAGATTAATTAAATCTTTGATTGTCAGTGTCTTTGCTGAAGAGAGCTACCCCACTAAAATCAGATGTAGGATGACTGTGGCTAAATAGTAAGTTATGTCTGTATTCACTCATTACTAGTGAAAGACATATGATTTGAAACTTTTTTTTTTTTTTCAGATTTAAATGAGCTCTCCCTAAACTGTTAGACTGGAGACACGTACCAATACAAGGTGATCTGTGGTCCTGCTGACTCTTAAGGAACATTAGCTATAGTATAACTACCAACAAAGTTTTCCTGTTTTTTAATCAATTAGTGTTTTCAGGTACTAAAAAGAAAGTAGAAGGTAATGATAGACATTCTTATGTACACTTACCTTGAGTTTATGTTCTTTCCTGTTTACAATCACAGCTGTAATTTGTTGGTCCATGAAAATCAGTATAGTGACCAACAAAGCCGGGATAGCAGCGGCAAGGCACACCCACCACGGGTTCCCTCCAAATGGTGGAACAAACCAACCTCGGTTTGGACTTGTTGGCTTGAAAAAGAGGACATTTTTTCAGAAAATTATCAAGTTAATATACACTATTCGGTGAAAAATCAATGGGAAGGCATGCTTTTATATTTGGAAAACCAATGTTATTGAGAATGTAAACAGCTGTGAGCTGGAGAATGAAGATTATTTACCAAAACCTTCCCAAAGGATGTAATTTTTGAGGCAATTCTTTAAAGAAAGGAGAGAAAGAATATGGGCTGTTAGAAAAGAAGTGAATGGCATTTTGTGTATTTGGGATGATTTAAGATAAGGGTTCAAAATGTAAGAAAGTGATTTAAGTTTAAAAAGCAGCCAGAAGAAAACTCCAAATGTAATATTCAGTAGAAAAGCAGCAAGAAATTACCAAACCACCATGAATTTTGTTCATGGGTTGTAGCAATTATACTGAAATTGTTTCTACTATTGCCAAATTTTAACAGCCTAATATGTATAAAAAGCCACAACTTTTTTTATAAGTGAACTAATATAAACATTCTTGTCTCTTATTTTACATGTGAAATAATGATCTACAATAATTGGGCAAATTCTAGGAAATATCACAAAACAATGGAAAAAACTGTGATTTTTGCAGTTCTTAGTCTGTTTCCATCAGTAGATCAAATGTGTCTACTACAGAAAAAAAAAAAAAAAAGGTTTTCCTATGCTTTTCCTTACTTTCAACAATGCAAGTTAAAAAAAAAACTAAAATAGAACACTGTGAATTATTTTCTCCTTATTTGCCATGAGGAAAGTTTCACTTCTCTTCTGAGGATATTCCCATCATCTGTCTCATAATTCTATCACTGAATCTAACCTCATTTTACTACAATTAGCAGATGTGAGCTTGTCAGAGAAAAAATTTTGTTTACTCATCAATGCATTTCAAATCTCCAGTTTAGAGCCTGACACAATATTAAATAAATATTAAATCAATTGATTATTGAATTAATGAGAACTTATCTTTACTAATGAATATGTGACAGCAGAGACAATTCAAAAATTAATGTTTCTTATAACATATATATCCCTTCTTAAGTAGTTAATAAACTAAAACTGCAACTAGGTTAATAATTCTTAGCAAATATATGATTTCAGTAGTGGAGTGAGGATTATTCTAGAAAATAGATGAAAGACTTATAATGAAAAATTAGCTAGGAATATATTTAGGAATGACTGAAATGTAAATTTTATCCATTATCTACATATATGAATAGGCTCATAAGTAATTATTAAATCTACTTTGTAATAATTAAAATTCACATTATATATAAATGTGTGTAGTAGGTAGTTTCATAGTATGAAAAGAGTATTAAGACTACACATTTGGATGCTTGGGTTCTAACTTCATACCTTGACATTACTAGTTTCATAATCTTGGGCATTTTGCTTAATTCTTTGAGCTTCAATCTTAACTGTATAAAATCAGGATGATGACCAGCCTGGGCAATATAGTGAAACCTTATCTCTTCAAAAAATTTAAAAATTAGCTGGGTATGGTGGCACGTGTCCTATAGTCCCAGCTACTCGGGAGGTTAAACGTGGGAGGATTCTTTGAGCCTGAGAGGCAGAGGTTGCAAGTGAGCTGAAATTGCACCATCACACTCCAGCCTAAGCAACAGAGCAAGACCCTGCCTCAAAAAAGAAAAAAAATCAGGATGATGATAGCTACATTACATACTTCTCAAAGTTATTATATAGATCAAGGTAATAAGGTATATAAAAAATATTTCAGATATTTAAAAAATATTCTAAAATTATAAGGCAGAGTTTATAATAGTATTATCAGTTGTGTTAAATAAAAAACCTAGTCTTGACATTTGATTGCACTGAAGAAATTAAATTACATGTATATATGAGCCTTATATACATGTATATAAGAGGGACTGATTTTGAAAAAAAAAAATGATTGTACAAAACTAACTAAAAGAAACACACAATAAACTAGTGAGAAAAAAAAGAAAAAGAGTTCCTGGAATGACCAAAAGATAGACATTCACCTACCTTGAACTCGCTTGGCACAATTAGTTTTGGAGTGTCCACGCCCACCAGGGCATCTATTACACAAAAGATGAGAATGGACAAGATAATGGCAAAATCACTGATCAGTTTTCTTGCCTGGAAAAAATAAAAAAGAAACCAGGAAGCATTTAGTACCAGAGTACCAGATAATATTTGTCTATGTTTGAACCAAATGATGAAGTCTGTATTTGCTAATAGTTTATAACAGCTTCATCAACCAATTGAAGGAGGTATCAGAGTGCAGAAAGATTATTTTTAAAATTGTTTTTGTAGTAATATATCACCTGGCTAGACATGATCTAATCCCAAAGAACAGGATGGTGTGTGTGTGTGTGTGTGTGTGTGTGTGCGCGCGTGTGTGCAGGGAGGGCAATCAAATAGAACATATCCCTGAAATACTGTATAAACTCATCCCGCTTGCAACATGAAGGTCACCTGGATAAGAATGAAAACTAAGTGCATATTATAAAAATCTGCACAACACAGAAATTCTGTTTATTATTTGGAAGGCAGCACTGTGAGTACCAAGTATGACAAATCTCATAAGATAGCCTGAAAACACCAAGAATCTAGCATGGGAGGGCTTAGAAGTTCCTGTCCCTGGGTGAAGTAAATATCAAGACCTCAGAGTCATGTCAAGTGATGAAAGATGAAAATGTGATGGCTGCACTAGCTTTGTCAAATAAAATATTTCTCAATCCCGGTTAGTTGTCACTGTGGGACAACTCTTCTCCACCACTTCTTGCATGTGACTGCCATTATCTGATAACCCTCCAAATTCCTAAGTACCTCCCTCTGGTCAGGACAAGGTCTGGGCTTTAAAGGATACAGCATTAAACTAAGATCATTCCCATGAAGTGGGTGAATATTGGTCATTTGCAAGTTGGTAAGGGGAGCATAGTACCATTTGGTTGCTCGAGATTGCTCTGTAGTCTCTAGCAGCACTAATGAGGATTAAATGCATTACTAGAGCACAGATATCTGAGCTTCCCATATGGTGGATACACATGTTAGCACATAATTTAATCATTCAACAAAAATCTACTCAGTTCCTAACACTTTTCTTGGTGCTAAGTATACCACAGTAAATAAAACAGATACAATTCACGTCTTCATTGAAGCTCATGACAAATTACAAACAAGGAAGCCTGCTCCTAAATAAAACCAAGGTTGATTACAGAGGTTATGTTGATATCTCAGGGTGAGCAGTCAGTTTCTGATGCTGCTGGATGAAGGGAGATCTGTGATGGGCTGAATGGATGCATAGTTCTGAAGATAAAGGATTTCTTGAAAGAGAATTATATCACTGCAGCCAGGCAGTCAACAGAAACTAAAATGAGTAATGAAAATTACTTGGCAGGGTGTGTGTGGTAAAGGCCCTAATGTTCACCGCTTGACCTTTATCAGGTGTCAAGAGCCTGATACTAACTGGCTGCCGGATCAAAGTTGTTCCTTTTGGCCAGTAGTTCCTTTATTTCTTGGAGGGTTAGATTACGCTAGGTTTAGTTTTCTTGAAAAGTACACATTGAGGAACAGAAGGAGAGACTTTTCTGGGCAAGTTAACATCAATTATACACAATAATTTTAAGAACCAATAGATGGTACGAATCAATTTGGGTAGACAATATAGTACAGCAGTTAGGAGCATAATTACTATTGGAACTTCTGCACCATTATTTCTTATTTGTAAAAACCCTTTCTTAGCTTCAATTACTTCATCTTTTTTTTTTTTTTCAGTGTAGACAGTCTTTATTGGCAGGTGTTAGGAGTGCAAAACTAGCAACAAATCCAGGGGAACGTGTAAGGCGGTTACAGGGCTCCCCTCCCCCACAGGAGAGCCCTGTAACCACGCCAGTGGGGCAGGAATGTTGACTTGACTGTGGCAAATTTGGGCTCAGCACCCTCCAAAGAACAAGCTCCCTGGCAGGAGGGCTTCTTGCAACACAAGGGGGAAAGGAGTGACACCCAGGAAGGGCCTGGGCTGCAACCCACCCTGGGCTGCTTGGCTCCTATGCACTGCCCGCCTCAACCCTTCAAGAGGAAGGCTTCACAGCTTAGGGTATCTATTTCAGAGAACCAGGCTAACCCCAGCCCTCCCCAAACCCAGGCAGTTGCCTCATGCCTCAGTTTCCCTGCCCCTAGTAAGATTACCCAAGTTGGATCATAAGACCCTGTGGTGGCCCAGCCTAACCCAAAGTGACAAGTCCCTGTAACATACCATACATCAGTCAGTGTGTGGGCTGCAGGCCCTCCAAAGCTGCCAGGATCACTACAGGCTGGCCCTAGTCAAGAAGACCCTTGTAGGCCATGGGAATCAATCTGAGGTGCTGGGGATTAAGGCTACCACCCCAAACTTGCTTTGTCTCCTGCTCAAAATAATCCCTATAATTTCATTGGTTTGTTATCAGAATTAAATAAGAAAAGTCATGAAAGTGTTTAACAATACTGCCTAGAACATAATAAATTCTCCTAATATAAGTTAATTATTGTTGTTAAAAGTTCCAGAAGCTCTCTTGGCTGCAGAGACCACTGGAATAACTAAATGATCTACTGTCAGAAGGTCTTTGAAATGAAACTCAAAATCCAAGAAGCAAAAAATAAAAGGTCATTAATAACATGAGACTGCCACTCAGAGCTAATTTTGGTTTGAAGTATCTGGAATCTCACACACAAAAAAGGATGTTTCTCAGGGGTTCTGTACTGGAGGAAACTCATTTATTAAGTTTTGTGCAAATAGTGTTGACACTGGCAGTTCAGAGTGGTCTGGCAAAAGATGGTCCCATGAAGCAGTTCAGGAGTATGTCAGGAAGTTACAACCACCCCTCTAGACTGATAGGTCATAAATCACTGGAGGACCAGAGGTCACTGCAAAGGCAAAGTGGAAGTTAGTTCTTATTTATCACCCTTACAATCCTCACCTAGAAAATACAACTGGTAGGCAACACAGATGTCCTAAGTTGTTTTAAAGAAGAGAAATAGTTATTTAAAAGGCAGATAGCTTTCCTCCTTTTTTTTTTTTTTAATAAACAGGAGAAGGGAGGCCAGGTGCGGTGGTTCATCCCTATAATCCCAGCACTTTGGGAGGCTGAGGCAGGCAGATCACCTAAGGTCAGGAGTTCAAGACCAGCCTGACCAATATGGAGAAACCCCATCTCTACTAAAAAATACAAAATTAGCCAGGCATGGTGGTGCATGCCTGTAATCCCAGCTACTCGGGAGGCTGAGGCAGAAGAATCACTTGAACATGGGAGGTGGAGGTTGCTGTTAGCTGAGATGGTGCCATTGCACTCCAGCCTGGGGAAATAAGAGTGAAACTCCATCTCAAAAAATAAAATAAAATAATATAAGAAATTAGAGAGATCCAAGATGGCTGATCACTAGCAGCTCGTGATTGTACCTCCCAGTGAAAGCGCAAAGAACGAGAGGACGCCACACCTTCATATGAATTCTTGTTGCTCACGCACCAGGAGATTCCCAGCAGAGGAGCCCCACGGGTCGCCGGCGCGACTCTTGTGACCAGCGAGGTGGTTTTGCTGGTGCCTTGGAGCGTCGGTTCTTGGTGCAGAGTCAGAAAAGTACCATCAATCTTAACACCGCTGATTTAGTCGGTGCAGTGGGTTGCTCAGATTTCGACTCTGAGAATCAATAAGTGGGACGTCCACTCAGAAGCCCAATTACAAAGACGGTAAATATAAAGACCACAGATGGATAAATTTATAACAAAGGGAAGAAAACAGCCAAAAAAGGCTGAGAATACCCAAGATCAGAATGCCTCTCCCTCAGCAGGGGATCACAGTTCCTCATCAGCAACGGAACAAGGCTTGATGGAGAACGAGTGTGTTCCAATTACAGAAGCAGGCTTCAAAATGTGGATAATGAGAAACTTCTGTGAATTAAAAGAACTTGTTTTAACCCAATCCAAAGAAACTAAGAACTTTGAAAAAAGATCTGACGAAATGTTAACAAGTATACACAATTTAGAGAGGAATATAAGTGAATTGATGGAGCCGAAAAACACAATACGAGAACTTCGTGAAGTATGCACAAGTTTTAACAGCAGAATTGATCAAGCAGAAGAAAGGATATCAGAGGTCGAAGACCAACTCAATGAAATAAAACAAGAAGACAAGAGTAGAGAAAAAAGGATAAAAAGGAACGAGCAAAGTCTCCAAGAAATATGGGACTATGTGAAAAGACCTAATCTATGCTTGGTAGGTGTACCTGAATGTGACGAAGAGAATGAATCCAAGCTGGAAAATACACTGCAGGACATTATTCAGGAAAATTTTCCCAACCTAGTAAGGCTGGATAATATTCAACTCCAGGTAATACAGAGAACACCACAGAGATACTCCTCAAGAAGAGCAACTCCAAGGCACATAATCGTCAGATTCACCAGGGTTGAAATGAAGGAGAAAACACTAAGGGCAGCCAGAGAGAAAGGTCAGGTTACCCACAAAGGGAAGCCTATCAGACTTACAGCAGATCTCTCAGCAGAAACCCTACAAGCCAGAAGAGAGTGGGGAACCAATAGTCAACATCCTTAAAGAAAAGAACTTTCAACCCAGAATTTCACATCCAGCAAAACTAAGCTTCATAAGTGAAGGAAAAATAAAGTTTTTTGTGAATAAGCAAGCACTCAGAGATTTCATCCCCACCAGGCCTGTTTTACAAGAGCTTCTGAAAGAACCACTACACATAGAAAGGAATAAACAGTATCAGCCTTTCTAAAAAAATACCAAAAAGAGCATCAATATAATGAAGAATTTACATCAACTAACAGGCAAAATAGCCAGCTAATATTAAATGGCAGTATTAAACTCACATATATTATTATTAATTCTAAATTTAAATTGACTAAATCCCCTAATCCAAAGACAGACAGGCAATTTGAATAAAAAACTAAAACCCATCAGTATGCTGCATCCAGACCCATCTCACATTCAAGGATACACAAAGACTCAAAACAAGGGATGGAGAAGGATTTACCAACCAAACAGAGAGCTAAAATAAATAAAAACAGAAGTTACAATTAAGCAACAAAGATCAAAGGAAGCAAAGAAGGACATTATATAATGATAAAAGGATCAATGCAA